CTTTGCACACTTCCTCCAAAAGCAACTCCACCAATACATCTGTGCTGTAACAGGCTGATGTTACCCTGCTGGGATGGGGAAGAGGGCATGGTCCTCTGTTCATTTAGCACAGGCATGGTTGCATATGGAAATGAGTTTTCCTTGGCAAGGCAGGGCACTTGCTCTCAGTCTTATCTGCTGCAAAGGGATTTAGGGCTTTGGGACTAATCCTTTGGTGAAACTGAGTCCAAGCTTCCAAGCTAATCTGCAAATTGGTTTAATTTTGCCAGCAGGCTCCCCAGGCTTGGGGCTGAGAGCCGTGTAGTGTAAATTACATGGGATCCCACCGTGGTGTATTTTCACTTGTGTAGCTTTCCTGCCAGTTCACTTAGGACAAGCACTGAACTATTTGACAACACAATAAAATGGGTTTTCTACATGTTGAACCAAGTGCTGTGAATGCAAACATTGCAGCATACTTAGTTAAGCTCTCTTCTACATTAAACAAGTTTCTTGCTTCATTTGTACTGTAAGAGCCGAAGACCGGCTCTTAGCAATAGTTTAAATATGTCTTGCAAGCCAAAATGGAGACTGCAGATGTTTGAAGTCTGGAGTTATTCAGAGGAAATAAAATAAAGCTTTTGCTAGCCATTGCTCTGTTAGAGGATCTCTGATATAAAAGGGAAATAGAGAGAAAGTGTCAAGTAAAACTAAGATGTATATATGTGTGTTTGTATGTGTAATTCATGTTTTCTGCCAGGCAGCATACTGGGGACAGATAATCCTACCTTAAGAGTTTGGCCTTAGAGGATCTAATATGAAGCTTTTTGAAGTCAGGAGCATTTCCGTGATTTCTATGGTCAGGCCCAGGACCAAACCCCTAAGCTCATTGTTGCTGTGGTGTTTCCATCCGCATGGCTTTCCTTTGGCTGCATCTGAGCAAAACAGGTGTCCTGGTGAGAGAGTGTCTGGGATTGAAAAAAAGTACTTTTAGCCTTCTGGACTGTCCCTTTGATTTCTCACCCCTTAGTGCAACCCACACAAAACAGAACCAGGCTGGTGGTCTGGTGAGACAGGACAGCTGTTGCTCCTGTGCAAAAGAGACAACCAGCTCCTGGGGCTCAAGTGGCTGCACCTGCACGTCTGGGATGGGGATGGTCATGTTGACAAGCCCCATCACAGCCCTTCAGTTTGTCACCCTGGGGCAACCTCAGCGGCATTGGAAGAAGTAGGGCACCCAGAGCAACACAGGGGATTTGAGACCCCATCCAGAGGAGTTTTAATTCCTTTGGGTCAGATCTGACCTTGCTTTCAGGTGGTGTTTTTTCAGTCAATTTGAAGAGCGCTGCATGCTTCTTTTCCTTCAGCTGCATTTTCAAAGGGTAGTAAAGCACTTGCCAAGGGTGAAGGGTGGCTGCAGAGACAGACAGCTGAGCACACCAGCTGCCTGCCCTTCGCAATTGCAGATTTCTGAGAACTGAAACCTGTTCTTTTACCTTTTATCTTTGTTTTTTTCCCCCATCTCTCTTAGAGTGTTTGGAGGACATTGTCCCCAGAATGACAGTAGCATACCTGCAGGAGGATGGAGGAGGCATCATAGCCCTTCTCTGGTGGGGCCCACCATAACCAAGACATCTCAGGAAGTCCTCTGTCACCACACATTGTCATCTGCTCCTGTGTACCCCATCGATTTGGGGTGGCCTTTGTTGCCTCTCCAAGTAGGGATATATTTGGAGAGCCAGGGCAGGGTGTGCGCGTATGTGGGGCTGTATTTCCTCATGAGGTGATACCGAAGACAAGCTGATTTGGCTGCCTTGATATGTTATTCTGTCCTGCCTCTGTCCTCACCTTGGTATCTGTTTCCTTTCTTCATCAGGAAAATGGGAGCCACTGCTCCAGTGTGACCTGTCTTTAAGGTACAACAAAATAAAGACCACCCGTCCCACTCCCTCAGACTCCTCCCAGTATGGATGGCTTGGTTGAGCAGAACAGCGTGGTAATGCACAATAAGATTGCTGAGGCCGGGAAAAGGAATGGTTTAATTAATACAAGGAACTTAGTGGCAGAGAGCCGAGATGGCCTGGTCTCTGTGTACCCGACCCCCCAGTACCAGAGCCACCGAGCGGGCAGCCTTTCCTCTCCGAGCTGCCTGGAGAACGGCAGGAAAGCCCCTGTGCAGCAGCTCCTGGACCCCAACATGTTGCAGCAGACGGTGGAGTCTCACTACCGGCCCAACATCATCCTCTACTCGGAGAATGTGCTGCGCTCGTGGGGTGAGAGCATTGGCTCAGAGTGCTGTGAAACTACCTTCATCGAGGACCGCTCCCCCACCAAAGACAGCCTGGAGTACCCGGACAGCAAGTTCATCGATCTCTCAGCAGATGACATCAAGATTCACACTCTCTCCTATGATGTGGAGGAAGAGGAGGATTTCCAGGAGCTAGAGGTCAGATGTCATTTGGGATATGTGGGGAGAGCTGGGGGGGAGGAGGGCGTATTTTGGGTTAAGTGTACAGCCTCCAAGAGCTGATCTGTATGGGATCAGCTGTAACCTACCTCCGCCCAGGTCAGTGAGCAATCACTCATCTTTATTTGTTGGGTAAAGTCCCAATTGTGTGCATACTAATGGCAAAATTCCCACTGGCCCTAACAGCAATCAGCATTTCCCTCCTGCCTCTGAATGGGCTGGTCAGAAACTGAAGAAGACCCATGTGCTTAAATGCTGTGTAAGGTCAGGGCCAGGAACATCTGTCCACGTACATGGAGCTTGTCCTACTCAGCAGGCCAACATCATCTCTTACTTTCTCCTGACTTGAGCTGGGCATAAAGCAGATTGTTTTGCATACTGGCTTGAACGTGAAACATTTCTGTCTCTGAATGAACACAAAATCAGAAGTCTTTGGGTTTCAAGCTGCAATGAATCCCATGTCTCTGAAACAAAAGATTTTTTTTTCTGATGGAGTGAAACACTTCATTAGTTCCCAAATGCAATGTTTTCTTTTAGGTTCCTGTGCTTCATTGATTGCTCACAGTAAAGTAAGATATATTTTGTTCTCCAAATGGGACAGACTGTGGAAATCAACTACATTCTTTTTTAAATGATGCATTTTTTGCTGTAAAAAATCTTTTTGGTTTTGGCTAAAACCAGCTGCCCAAGCGCGGCGCAGATTTGTGCAGCGTGTGTGGGAATGGAGGGTGTGCATAATGCTGCTGATCCCAAAATTTTCTCCAGTGCTGGTCACCAACTCCTACCCTAGCAAAGACCATTTGGCTGTCTGGAGCGAAGCCATAGCTTCAACTCAAATATCCAAGTTGAGATCAAGAGGCTATTTGCTTGTGTTTCTCTGTTGCAGGGGGTTTTCTCCACCAAGACCTAACAAGTCCTAAAACTTCTATTTTCACCTCCTGTAATACTAGTGCCTCACCCTGTGATCAGCACGGGGCAACCCAACACGAGCCTGACTTCTCTTTCATTCTCCTTTCTCTCTGTATTGATAAGGTAGGGAGAGAGAGGTGTTTTTCCCAGTGTGTGCCAGTAATGCAGTATTCAATGCCTCTGCAGGGAGACAAAAAGTTTCTCTCTGAGGCATGTGAAGGTGTTAGCTCAAATCACACCCTTCTACAGCATTTCAAAATTGGCTGTGGGAAGTCTCGTTTTCTTAATCAAAATAAAATCCCTAGTTGCTGCCTTTTTGCCCTAGTTTCTCATGCAGCAGTGATGCAAGTGACTGCAGCAGGCATGTAATTGCCTAACGGTGTTATTGACACCTCTGGCCTGACATTTAGGCAGCAAAAAAAAAAAGTCTCCCTCTTGTCAATCCAAATCTGGCAAGACCTTCTTTAGCCAACTGTTGGAGAGTAGACTTAAAAAAAAAGCCAGGAAAATAAGCAGGCCAAGGAAAAAATGTTTCATTCCAAAAATCTTTTCCCTTTTCTTGGTGGGATTTTTAAGGTGCCTTTGCAATGTAGGGCCCTCGATCTGGGTGTCTCTTCAAGGTGGTACTGTAGGAGCTTGATCAGCTTTTCATAGAAAACATTTGTTTCTAGAAAACCACCTGTAAAACAAGCTCTGAGGATAGTGACTTCATCCTTCCCAGGTCTCAAGGGGAGAAAGGAGAGAGTCTTTGCAAATTTTGGTACCAAGCTGCGACAATGTGTGCATCATTTTCCCTGTCCCCTCCTTCTTTTTGACCTATTTCTCTGGACTGTAGCCTCCTGAGGTCATATGCATCCCTTCTTAAATGGGTGTACTGCATCTGGCACCACGGATTCCCAGCCTCACTTAACCATGCGGGATGTTACTGTGCTAATAAAGAGAGAGGTGTATGCACAGCCATCCTGACCTACACGTACAAAGCGCTCAGAAGAGGATGACATTCACAAAGTACACACCCATGCGTCTTCCTCTCTTCTGCATTGGGGTATCTCCTCCATCAGGAGAATGGAGCAAAGGAGGAGAAAATGAGGCAAGGTCTGGGGAAGGATCTGCCTGACTGGAAACATGTGTGTTGCTGGAATTGCTGGAAGCCTCTGCTTCTAGCCCAGTATCAGTGTCCATCATTGTGCTACTTGGCCAACCCAGTGCAGCGCTATGATTTTCGCCCTTCTCCATGAACCAGACCCAAATGACCAACCTGCTGAGCAGCTGCATTCAGCATGAGGGGTCTCAGCATGGGGTGTAATTTCCATCTGAGGGAGGTCCAAATTCTGTGGATGCAGCCAGTCATGCAGAAAGATGGTGAGGAGAGGAGAGATGCATTTGACAGCACAAGACCAGGAAAAAAGGTGACTGCTGTGTTGTGCTCTTCTGGTTGCCATGTGGACAGATGCTGTGTCTATATGGCCAAATGCATGAGGGCCTCCTGGGCTTGGCTAGTACAGATGTTCATTAGAGATGTAGCTTCATATGTTGAGATTCCAAGAATGGAAGAGAAGTATTTGAGGGCAGCAGTCACTGAGTAGGGGAATGTACCATGCCAGATTGCTAACTACATAAAAATTTTCCTGTCTGTCCAAATGAGAAAAATAGCACCTGAATCACACAGCATGAGTCTGGCCCACTAGAAAGCATTTTTTTCCCACTAGTTACTGACAAGAAGCAAATGCTTTTTAAATTACAGATAGACCTGAAGTGGGGTGGAAAGGGTTAGTACCAGGACTGGGAGAAGAAATTAAAAGGAGAACAATGAGAGAGGGTGGTACAGCAGCAGGGCAAGCTTCTGCTTACCCACTGTGAGAGCCTTCAAGGATTTGATTCTGCCATCGAGGATGCACAGCCCGTTGCTGAGTATCTTGCCACATTGACTGTCATGCCACAGCTCATCAAGGAATGGGAGCTGCACAGTATAAGAGCAGGTCATGGCTCAGTTCTTGTAGCGTTTTTTTGTTGTAACACATCTGCTTTGGCACTTCTTTCTGGGAGAAAACTCTAAAAGGAGCCCCTTTTTGCAAACATGAGCAAAGAGGGGAACTTTGTGCAGAAGAGCTGTTGTCTCTTGAAAACTGAGGGCTACCGCCTGTTCTGCACGTGTCAGGGCAAGGCAAGTGGATTCCCAACTCAAGCATCTCAGCAAAATGCCTTCTGGGAGACAGAACAAGCCTGGGATTGTGAGTTGTTTCTCTTCCCCCACATCTCTCTGGCACTGCCTGTCTTATTGCAGAGCGCCTGCCTAGCGGTTTTCAGGACTGGGTATTTAGTTTCTTAGAAATGCAGAAAAATCTAACTCATATCTTTGCAGTGACCTCCTCTGTGCAATACTTGCACGGACACACAGAGAAAATATCTTTACAGCTGGTCGGTGTGTTCCTGCCAGGGTTTTGTTTTTGAAGGGAGTTGGGCTCTTGATAACCAGAAAGGTTGTTGTTCTCTTGCAGCAAACTTCGCCGCAGAGAAAGTTTCTGAAACAAAACCCCAGCTCTTTTGACTGACAGTGATTTGGTTTTGGTTTATAGAGCTGACCCACCCAGGCTGCAGGGGTTGCTGCTCTGTTACCTGTCATCCCCTTCATGGGGACGGGTCTGTCCAGCTCAGCGATGTCTCTGACAACTTGCCTAGAAGGAGGCACCTTCTTCCCTCCCCAAGCCCGGGGACTCTGTAGAACCTGGGAGATGTACCAGAGGAGCAGGAGACATCCTAAGCAGGAGTCCTGCACACTACTGAAACAACTGACCATGTTTAACCTTTTTTTACTAGTAGTGTTTCTCAGTTCCTGGTGTAATGTTATTCAGACTGCCTACAAAAATCATAATGTCTGGAGGGAAAAACATTTCTGGAACAGCTCTTATCAGCATATACAGCCCCACTTTGCTCTAGCAATTACCAGGCATGAAAGCAAAAGGCTGTGCATTCTCTCAAAGCTTTAAACTTCTCTCTTTGGTGCCCATCCCTGAAATAAAATTGTTGCCTATTTAGGTATCTCTGGAACGCTTATAAATATCTTATGAATTCTTTACACCACAACTAATGGACAGACAACTTGTCAAATGTGGCGGCAGTGAAATATTACCCGAGTTGCTAGCTGAAATACTCTCCTGTTAAGAGTTCATGCGTAAATGCAGTGCCGTCTTTTATCCAGAAACATCATTTGTCATATTACACTCCTGCTAGTTTTCCTCCTAACCCCCAGATAGATGGCTTATTTAGAGAAACCCAAGCTATTGATGGCAGCAAATTGCATTATTCATATGTGTCGCATAAAAGAATACATCTGAGCTCTCTCAAAACCCTTTTTCTTTTTCCCAGCAATGTCTGAAACAGTCTCTGAAAACAAAATAAATAAAATGTTCAGGGGAGTGAAAGAAGAAAGGAAATGCAGTGCTTTCAAGTTAAAACTTCTTTCATTTTTTCCCCTACAAAATCCCCTACATCCCTGCTGGATGCTGCTGTGAAACTCATCCCTTGGACGTGAGCGTGAAAGTATAGAGACAGAAGGTGGATCCTAAGCCATGTCCTGTTCCATCTAACCCCTCTTCTCAACGTTCCCAAGCACCTCCTGGCTGCATCCCTTCTGCAATGTGAACAGAAGGCCCTGGAGGGGTTTATGGACGTCGAGCCCCATGACATGCATGCTTTCTGCCAACGCTTCCAGCCTGCAGAGGCTTGGATGGTCCTGCATTGCACTGATAAGATCTGAGCTGCTGTGTCCTCCGCCTCCCCTGCGAGCGAGTATCCAGAAAGCTTGTTTGGACTCCCCCTTGGCATGCTGAGCATGGTGGGGTTCCCCTTCCAGAGAGCTCTGCAGCATAGGCAAAGAGGCAGTCTAGTGCAGACATGGGAGGCTGTAGCACCCATGACATCTGAGGCAGGTCTTGCATACTTTAGGTACTTGATTGTGTGGCCATTTCCCTCCAGGGTCTTGCACCGTGTTTTCACTAATGAGTTCACCCGTCATCGCAGCGCTTCTGGTGAGGAGGGAAAACAGTATTTTTTCCATTCTCCGCCTGAGG